AGTTGTTGGAGTTGGTACTTCAAATACTTGAATACGTCTTCTTTCACTTTTCTGATGTTTTAAGCCAACTGTCAGTCAATATTCAAGAACGCGACGTGCTGCTTCTGGAGCAGAGATCATGCGACTGGCTTGGTAGTGAAGCGTTATTTGTTTACTCGGAATTGTTGTGTTGTAATCGGCATTGTTGTGGTCCACAACAATGCCGAGTAAACAAATATCTGTTGACATTGTTGATGACGTCATTTCTTGAAGACAACGAGGAATCACAAATTTTTATAGTAGAATATAGAAAGATCGATATTGATGATAACGTGATGAGGGGTTTTCGTTAGAATACTTTCACTAGATGGCAGTAAGAAGCGTGCTGTATCTGCCTGTCATCTGTAATATATTTTGAAACTAAGTACAAGTTGTTGTTCGATAATGATTTTAATGGTGGAAACATACAAGAATGAAACAATGGATTTGCATTCGTAACACTTTTCTTTTTCAAGGATGTGTGCATTTCATAATACTCGTGCATGAATTTAATTAACACTGGCTGTAATATAAAATAATGCGAGGCTTCCCAATGGTGTTCATTACGTTATGTTCAAAAACGATTGCTACATGTGTTTTGGTAGTTTTCGTTCAGTCATTCTCTCGACCTATGTTCAGTTCAACTGCTTCTGTCTTCAATTTGTAAACAACGCATTATCTGCGAGCGCAATAAAGCGAGGTATGTATGTACACGTTTCTAACACAATTTTGATGGTGCAGGAATAGTTAACCTTCTTACCGACTAGGCTACTGTCATGTCGCCGTTGTTGTTGCTAATAAATCGTTCATAGGTTGCAGCATACTCCTCACGAAATACGTTGCCTACATATGAGTAACACATCTGGGTTAGTTTGTGATTGGTTGTATCTTTCAGGGGAAATTGTTCTTGCCTGGGATTTTGCACAGGAGTTTTAATGGCAAGAAGACCTTTATTTTCCTTGTTAAAACCAAACCATTTTCACATAAGATATAATTCAAATGAAGGTATAAAATATCATGGTTTTACGTATTATCCAAGGTACAATACAAGTAAATAACGAAAAACATAATCTGTTGTTGTTGATGTGAGGTTAGGTTTGATGAATGATGATTTTGTGGCTCTTAAGGTTTCCAGATGAGAAGGATCCGCCATACGAACCTACGAAGCTTCTTATGGTGCAACGAGTGAAGCCATTGAAAGGGAATCCATACTGGGACAAGAAATTGCTGAAACATTTTGGTTTGGATGGAAAGGTGAGCATTTTATAGTGTGTAATAAAATACATCTATATGAATTAAATAAGTACATGGAACAGAATCTTTGAAGAGGTAATACTTGCACCACTACTTAAATTCCTTGCCCATGATGGAACCTTAAGGTTCATAATGGTACTGTGTTTGTAAGCACCTGCCAACATAGTGTGTAATGGGACACCTTTTTTTATTACTGTGCTTGAAAAATTCTGAAATAATTACACTTATAATAATTGTTCTTTGTTGATAATACTTTTTGTGTTTTCAATTTTTGTTTGTATTTATTTCATACTGATCCATGTAGTAACACACCACTTACTTCTCACTTACTCCTTCATGACAAGTAATAATGCACTGCTTGTAACTTCATGCACTGATTTAGAACCACAGATCACTTAGCTAGCACAAATTCCAACTGAACTATTTCAAATTTGTTGACTAGCTGAGTGCACTGTCACCATTTCAAGACACACACTGCTCCATGGAGTTATCTCAGATGTTAATTTTATTTTGAACAGCTAAGAGCAAATGTCAGAGTGCAAAGAGTGTATGTGGAAGCTCTATGTGATCCTGTAGAAATTGCATTTTCCAGGTTCTGTGTAACAGTACACTTAAATTTGGTGAGAATATAGTTCTGCTTGGTAGGATAATTGTGAATGATCAATTGGAAATGTTGTGGAAAGAAGTGATTGTGCTTGGAAGAACTGAGGAAAATCACAATACCCCCATTAGGATAGTTGATCTATAGGCCAAAATTGAAAACTGAGACCTCCCAAATGTGAAGAAACAATATTTAATATTTTCTCTAGTTCTCTAAAGAATATAAATATATACTCACTTACCTGTCTTTACCTTCTCAAATAGATGCTAAAATATATTAAGTTATATTTACACAAGGAATAAAATAATGTTTTCAAATAATAAAACCACATGCTACTATGCTGTGGCCACTCTTAACTGTGCTCATGTATGATGAAGTAATTGTAGGTATTATAGAAAGCTTTACCAAATTGCATGTTTCAAGGTCATATCAAAACCGTATAACATATCAACATAAACAGCAGAGCCCAGGCAAGTGAAGACAACTCAGAACTTGCGGCATAGGAAAGCAAGCAATGCTGCAGTGTTAACTTAAGGGTCATACAACAAGGGGGATGAAGTTCTTCTGTGGCTTTGAATCATACAGTTTGGTGATGGCTACTATAGTTAAATTTTGCAGCAGTAATTTTTTAGATTTGAACTTCATAGGATTATATTTCTGCATTCTTTTGTGCAATTTATTTCAGCAAAGTGACATTGCTGTCGTGAAAAACATCCCTGAAGTTAATGCCATTCTATGGAAGATCAAACATTTGGTGAAGATTACACCCATTCAGTGTCCCAATGGCCTGCCAGAAGAAGGTGATTATGAAGGAACGTACTTGACAGATTATGGGGAATTTAGAATATCCCCACGATTGAAGATTGATCCAAAACAGATTGAAGCTACAGAGGAATTTGTGAAAGATCCTAGAAAATTTGATGGAGAAACACTGCGTAAACTTTTGAGGCTTAAGTGGTTAAATGGCTGGTAATATGTAACATGAGATTTGTTGACAGTGTGTAGTTACATCTTAAAGTGCTGTAATAATAGTGTATTTCCCACCTTATAAAGCAGTGTAGATGCATGTGTGGGATATGCTATAAGATCACTTTAAACTGAAAAAATATTTTTTGTATCATTTTAAATGATGTAAATTAAAATGAAGTGTGCGCTACTGATGCTGTGTTTCTATAGTGTGAAGTACTGTACTACATTAAATCCTCTTTTGACTCCTTACTGATTTCCCATTCTTTATTCTTTCATTTTTGTTTCCAGAGTCATCCGTAATGCTTGTATCAGAAAGGGTATCATGCTGGAAGTTGTCTGGGGGGACATAGGTACACCAAAGATTTTGTGTAATATCATCCATTGATACAAAAGTTGCAGGACACACACACCTGTGTGTTAGCCTGTCCTAAGGCTATTCTTCTGTTCTGAGTGTTTTAAGGAAACAGCATTTGCTTGCGGCATGTATAAATAGTATCAAATTTCATTACGTGCTTGGCAGCAGTCTTTCCTTAACTCTTACAAATTAATTGAACATACGAAGAAATGGTAAGATGCAGTGTATCTTTAATTTGCCCTCCTCCAGACTACATCGCAACTTCATGTTTTGTCACTATTAATGCGTAGGCCAGTAGTCCCCAACACAGTGCCCGCCAAGGCTTTTTTTGGGTGCCGCGTTGTTACGGAAAGAGGTTATACTGAATAATGAAGGCCGTTCAGCCATGAACATTATAAAATCAAAGCACAGATCTCGACTTACTGATGCCCATCTTGACGATTGTTTGCGAGCAGCAACATCATCCTACACTCCCAAATTTGAAAAACTGACTGATGAAATGCAGCGCCAAACATCACACTAACCTCCCACTTGAGTAATAATAATTGTACTTATGAAACTACGTATTTTTGATTGCATGGTTTCTTGCATCATTAAACGTCGTGTTGTTTTGTGTATTAATTGGTGTCCATATCTTATTTGTCCAGAGAAAAGAAAATTTGGCTTTGTTAATTGGTTGGTGCCATGAACATTATAAAATCAAAGCACAGATCTCGACTTACTGATGCCCATCTTGACGATTGTTTGCGAGCAGCAACATCATAATATTCTCCCAAATTTGAAAAACTGGCCGATGAAATGCAGTGTGAAACATCACACTAACTCCCCACTTGAGTAATAATAATTGTACTTATAAAAGTACGTATTTTTGATTGCGTGGTTTCTTGTATCATTAAATGTCGTGTTGTTTTGCGTATTATTTGGTGTCCATATCTTATTTGTCCAGAGAAAAGAAAATTTGGCTATGTTAATTGATTGGTGCCCGCCACGATCTCATAAACTCTCAAATGTGCCCGTAGGCACAAAAAGGTTGGGGACCACTGGCGTAGGCTTTATAGGATGTATATTTACTGCTTGCACAGAAAGGCTGCTGGAGTCTGTTTTAATATAGAGTTGTCTTGCTGGTTGCTTTCATGGTCTGGATACATCCTCAGGGAAGTCATAACAGGGATGCAGCAGGATGGATTCAGGGTACAGGTGGTATTGTGGGAAGGCACATAGAGAGTATTATGCTTTTCAGACCATAAGTCACTCTGATGTTAGGCAGTGAAATTTGGGAAAAGTGTACTCCTAAAACATATATATCAATAGCAGTGCATTATAAGGAAGCAACAATCTCAAAAAGTGTGTTTCCTCTTGTCTGCAATGTCCATTCACCTATAATTTTTTCAGTGGAGGAAGGTTGAAATGTGTTCATGATGATATCCTGTTTCCACATTCTTTGGCATCATTTGCCACATATGCTACAAGGATTAAAGTGTATGAAATTCTTGTGTTTCCATATTGTGTGTGCAACTTGATAGTGGGTCTGGCAGTGAAGAGGATGACCCACTGTTTCTAACTACTTGTGACTAATCAATAATACTATTTGACAATAAATAGAACAGTTATCTTTTATGCCATGCCACACAGCTCAATTCAAATATAGAGCATCATGTCTTCAATTATGTCATCTTCTCATATAAAAATTTTAATCATTTTGAAGATGGCAGTCTTCATAGATGTTGCTTTGTGTGGTCTGGTAAAAATTGATTAACATTTCAGAGCTGCTTACTGCCTCATTATCACCCTGATGATGAAGGCAGTAAACACGTTTGAAATGTCTGTCATTTTAAATCGGATAACATATCAGAATATCTCAGGAATTGTCTGTCTTTGTAGTTGTTGCCACGAAAACCTGAAATTTCACAATGTCATTTTGACATTGTGATATCAGCCCAATATATTTAACTCATAAGAGAACACAATTCTGGGAAATTTTTCTAGAGAGAAATATATGGCCCAGAGAAATATTGCAAGTGTGGTAAATGTATTTTATGTCATAGGTGACAACCTTTCTGTATTAGTAGAAAAAGATTGTGCCATGGGTTGCTTTCAGGGGTTGTGTTGGTTGTATAGAAATAGTAAATAGGGTAGTAACAGAACTGAAGGCAATAGAGTATGATTCCTGTAAATACGGTAATGAACCCTTCGGTTCTGTGTAAGATGTGACCAGCTGAGTGACTGCACTACTGAGTTAGGTGTGCATTATAATGTAATGTACATACATACAGACAAAAGCAAACTAATTATAAATCATTCTGAATTATTTTTGTTGCAGAGAATTGATAATACATGTTGAAGAGATCTTTGAACAATGGCGCAAAATCATAGACTTTCTGTTGTTTATTGTGTAGTACTTCGTATGATATACCGATAGGGAACAGCACAGTTTGCAGCTCGGTTCTGTTGTTGTGGGCTGTGTGTGCTGGTTTATGCAAAATGTCCAGTACTTCATGGGAAAGTAAAATATCAGATCTCGAAGCTCGATTGAAAGCGGAAAATGAAATGAGAGATAGGGACAAAATGCCAAAGGACTTAAGCCATGTCATGGGAAGTTCTGCGCATGGAACTGGTCGTAGACCCAAACAGTGTAAGTAGTGATATGATTGTAAGGAAACTATTCGATTTATTACATTTTTACACGAGGAAACGTAACTTCAAGATAATGAAACGGTTTTTCAGTTGGTCAGTGATTATCGTGCATCAAAAAGTAATTGACAAATTTCGTCATTCGTGGTACGAGTTTGACTTGGACATAAAAGAAGAAATGTATATTTTGTAGGTTAGTTATTCGTGTTTATTGATGGACTTTGTGTGTAGCAAATTGTGATTGTCAGACTTGGAATGTGTGTATGGGCTAAATATTAATGTAATGATACATGAAAGTCAAAAGTCTATGTACATTCAGGCAATTTGGCTGAAAGGTGGGTGTTTGGAACTTTCTGTGGCTTGTTATTTTGTGGGTGTTGTTATTTGTAATTGGTATGTGAAGTTTTAAGAAAACGGGATTTATGTCTTGTAACTACATGATATCACTAACATTATCATTTCGAATGCAAATGGAACTAGTGATGACAATTAACAATAATGCTGTGAGTTGGCTGTCAAAATAATTGTCATGTAGGCCTATATGCCTATCTCAATATAACTAATGTAAAAATGCTGTGGTGTGGTTAGACCTCCAAATGGATAATGTTACATTAAATTTTACACAGGTTTTAACTAGCCCTGTTTCTCGTTTACAAATAATTGACAAATTGAACACCAGTGATTAAAGTCTGCTAGTGTTTTATAATACAAGTTTTTGATTTTTTCAAGAGATGAAGTATGAAGAAGAGAATTTGTTCAAAAAATGTCAGAATTACGAACAAAAATTTATATTTATTTTTAAATATTTTAGGTGTATGCACTCAGTATAGGCATACTGATTCAATTGCCTGTAGCCCATGCAGCAGCCATAACAGTGGCAGTTTGATTAAATATTATTGCAGGTAGGACTTGTCATGTATTTTGTCCAGGCTACTCAACTATAGCTGATAGCTACTGGTATCTAGATACAGTATACAGATTAGCCCTTTAACTAGTTGCATCTCTGGTAAGTTCCTGAACCTTCTGCAAAAATAATTAAATTAAGTTGAAAAAGCAACTGCTTTGTCTTATCACATAGTTACAAACTCATAAGAATATTGTATATTTGTACAATACAATAGCAGCATTTCTTTTATGTCATCATGACTGTAACTAGTGGCCACTATCGTTGAATGACGATTTCTGTCTTCTGGATTGTTGTCATACTGCCTCCCTGATAATGGAGGCAGTATGACCTCTGAAACGTTGGTTAACATCAACCAGACTACACAGCGCAACTACCCAGAAGACAGAAATCTTCATACTCACCGCTGTGAAAACCTCAAATCTTACATCGTTGAATGACTTTTTTAAATTTTATAATTAGAAAATCCGTAGGGTATTGTGTCATTCATACACAGATAGCAACACATGAAGGGGATCTTAGAGGAAGAGGGTGTTTGGGTATATGTATGCAGTTCAGAATAGGGATTAGTGGTTAGGTCATCAGAACACAATAAATTTCTAGGAATTTCTTGATCAATTGAGTCACTACTAGATGCTCAAGGAGGACTCTGCTTCATGGAAGTTAGTTAGTCAGTCATTTAGTTAATTATTATTTGGCAACACATGATGAATGTTCTAATAGCAAGCAAATGAAACTTTGCATAGAAAATCTCTGAGAAAAATGAATGTGCTTGTCAGAAATATTAAAAGTTGCTTATGGTAATATCCCCATTTTAAGATTTCTTTGTGGAACAGTGAATTTCAGTATCAAGTGAAGAGAACCTTCAATGGGGGATATTAATGGTAATGTTTGGTTGACATAATTTAAATTTAACCTCAAATGAAGACATAAAATGTCGATTTCATAATACGTAGAAGGATTATGGTGTATCACAGTCTTGCAGTTTTCATTCTCCATAGTGTTTTCAAGTGAAAATTAGATGCAAAACTACAGGACTTATAAATTTATTTATCTGTGTGAGTACATTCATTATTTTGGGCAAAAAACTGTTCAGAACAAAAAAACATAGTTATATAAAGGAGGCTGCAGAATCACAATTTAGGTACATATAGAGTAAGCAGAATTTTTCAGCAGTTTATAAAATTTAATTTGTTGGTGTATTAAAAGTAACCAGTCCACTAAATAGCATTCGCCAAAAAATTTATCAACCTTGATCAAGCTTGGCCATTGGTCCACAGAGCAGTCACATGAAGAAGGAAGTAGGAGATCAACTTCTGAAATATAGCAATTTTAATTAAAAATAGTTAGATGATGGATAAATCCGACAGAATAATTATACACATTGTGCCACATCATTGTCAGAAACCTTTAAACTTCAAGTTGAAATATTTTTTACATGAAAATGTGTTTGGCAGGAATGTAGGTCCTTTTGTGTCGGCCAAGTTAATAGGCATCAGATTATTTGCATTCTAAGTAGTGTATATGGTAAGTCATAAAGTATATACATTTTTATCTGAAAATGTATTGACAATCATGGCTGAGTGGTCAGCACTCCTGTTTATATTCAGTAGGTCCCACGTTTAAATCTTGATCCATAGACCGGCTATCCTGACTGAGTTTTTTATTTCTATCCCCAGTCCTCCAGGCAAATGCTGGGATCTTTCCTTGACTTAGGCTGTGACTTCTTCCTTCAACATCCTTTGCAGTTCAGTGTTCATTATTATCCCATCATTTGACTCTACGATCTGAACTATTGACATTGTTTCTAAAGGGATTATAAATGTTATAAATAATGTAGTGGCTCTGTCTGCTTATCCATTATTGAGTCCAGTTCATGGGTCAAGTTTCATAAATGACTGACAGACAAAATGAACCATAGGTATGCGATTTACAATCTCCAGAACAAAGTGAGCTATTTCTTTTACATGGTGCATCCCATAACGTCCTTGCAAAAACCATTAAGGTGAAGTCCACAGTTATTATATTAAGCAGTTATCTTAAATGACCCTTAGGAATACTGGGTTGCTCATTCCCACATGCTGAAGCTGTGTACTGAACCCAACATTTGGACAGGGTTGCTGTCAAAATGTCAAGAGTCTAAGTCCACACCCAATGACATTTTTAAACTTTAAGCCTCCAGAGGTGAAGGTGAAGCAGTGATGCCATCATTTCTGTTATCCTGCTACTGTCACCGGAAGTCCAAATACCCACCCACCAGCTGAGCTCCCAACAAACCATCAGCGTCACAACCCTGCAGCTGATACACCAGTGAGCCGACAATATAATGAGGACATATTTCCAGTGAGCTAAGGACCGTCACAATAAATATAAAGTACACACGTGAATAAATGCATGAAAATAGTCCTGAAACCATTAGTTACTGAAATAAAATAAATAATTTCATTAAAATAATTCTTAATTCACAGATTGATAAATATCTGATTTCTTACAGTTCACTACATTATCATTTAGTTATATACTTCGTTTGTTTTACTTCCAAAAATTATAGTTGTCTGTATTTGGGGTTAGTTTAATATGACATATAAACTGCCACGTATGACCATTATATTTCATCATGCATAGGTCATACCTTTATTTGATTTTCAGGTGTGGCCTTTTGAGCTGAAAGTTATTTGACGTCTAGCGTTTAACTTTGATCCTAACTACATGTATCATTTGCCATATTATTTGTTGTTTGTGGTCAACCATAGATCTCAGTACTACTATTAATAATAAAAAAATAATAATTTGTCTGGATCGATTATTTCGTTGGCTAAGTTACCTTCCAGAGTTCCTTCTGTGGAACCACGTTAGTGAACGGCTTATGTTTTTTCATCCCCCGATTCAAGTACGTAATTTCAGATAAACTGTGATGAAATTTAGTTTGAGCTAAATTTGTTACTTTAGCTTTCTTCTGTCAAAAGTAAGACACGGCAACAGTATGTGAGATGTGCCATTTAGTTTTCTGAATTTGATGTGTTCTCACTTGTCCCACATTCCTGTTACTAGGATTTATGGGATGCATCTGTATCTGCAGGGACTACTACATCTTATTTGTCTGAGAGGGCTGTGGTCTAGTGGCAGTCATTGAGGCCACAACTTGCTACGTCTCTGCATGGGTAGCAGTCAGTGGTGATATACTTTCACCATGAATCACTGTGTTTGCATCTGTTCATGCATTTGACAGTTAATCATTATATTACATGGCTGGAGTGGGGTGTACTATTGAATAGTGTGTATGTTTAATGCGTCTGTATTTTAAATATGAGTGCCAGAAAATGTAGCAGAAAAGTTTCAGTGCAAGTTTCCAGGAGAACCAGTTTGAAGAAGACAAAATATACTTACTACCTGATGAATAAGCTGTAAATCATTGCCAGACAAGAAGCCAGATAGGAAACGAACTGTGCTGACATAAGAGATGTTGGATGACATTGGTACTTGACTTGACTTGACTTGAAAGTCTCTTAAATGACCGGCACAGGTATACAACACTGAGTGGTTAAATGCATGAAGGGATACAGACAAATGCAATGTGTCATAGCAGAAGTGTAATATCACCATCTGCTGCCTGTGGAGAGATGCAGTAAGTTGCAGGCTGCTGCTTGGCCACAGCCCTCTCGGAAAACAGGACGTGGTAGACTGCACATAATGCTACTGGCATCGAACGTAGGATCTGGAACATAGTGTATTGACATATCTTTGAAAATATATAACATATTTTTGGCAAAATAGAAAATATGGTGGTATCCTCACAGGTTATTTTAATTCCATGGCAAATCATTGTAGGTTGACATGTGAATTTATATGATCGCATGTTACAGATGCATGTAGTAGTAATACTAGTTATTATTAACCATATTAAGGACCAGCCCTTCAGAATTCTAAATTGCATCATATGAGAGGGTTTTTAATATTAGTTTCTAGTATCAGTGTATTTTGTATTTAGTTTATTTGGCAAGTGTTTCTCAATTGCATTTGTTATAGTGTCATATGGGAAGTTAATTGTGAATGATAATTTGGGAAGAATGTGGGAATAAGCTGTCTTTAGCTATTTTAAGGTTCTATTTCAGTATTTACTGGAAGGACTGATGAAAAACAAAGGAGGAACTTGTCAGGATTGACAGACTCAGAATTTAACCTACCACCTCCCAGATATGAAGCAAGAGTGCTGACAACTGCACTAAAAGTAACGCTGTTCCGCTGTATGCCATGTAGACTCTTGGGGAGAGTGGAGGTATACCTCCTTCTCATTATTATCCTAGGCACTATATAGGGGTGAGTGGTCAGTGTCTTGCCCCAGCCACGCTTTACCCCCGAGAAAGTATCCCGGTACCCATTAGATAGGAGGCTGGGTAGACCCCAGAGACAGTCTGGATGCAGAGGTTTGAGGAGAAGTGACCTGCCCCTGTCAGGGATCAAACCCCCGTTGTCGAGTCCATAGGCACTATACTGACTGAGCTACCCTGACTCCCACAACTACACTACAGTATTTAATACTGGTTTTTAAGGTCATGACTAATGTTTGCTGAGGTGTGATTTTTACAAATTAATCATTAAAATTGTTGGCTATTTTCCTTCTG